TTAAAAAATACATTTAAACTCTTATTTAACTGAAAGTTAAATTCCATTAAAAATCTTATTTATCATGAATGAATTTGTGTAATTTATTTTAAGCAATAATAACAATAAACCTATTGTGTTGTAAATTATTATATATTTTAATAGCAACCATATTACATTATCCAAAGTTTTGATGAAAAATTTTAATGTGAGTAACACTGTTGAGATAGATTACATTTGTACAGTACTGTAGATATTAGTGAATAAGTGTTTAGTACATTGTTTAATTATTTCACAATTTGGAAACATTCTCTATTGACTTCATTTACTAATAGAAACACAATTTTATACAATTATTATCTTATCTGAGACTAGAATTCAAAGAACAAATAATAGGATTAAATGAAATCATTTGTGTTCCTTAAAGGAAAGCTGATAAACCAAATCAAATAATTGAGTATTATATTAATATACGAGTGATTTGAATAATCTCCAATTTTAAGATCTCGTTTAATTTCAACTCAAATACTAATATTCATATTTTAAATAATATTATACTGTATTTGATTTGTCAAGCTTTAGATTGTTTGAACATCGAATTTAAATAAATTGGTTAGTTTTTACACACAAATCTTATCATGGTGTAGTTGTTTTATGAATAAAAATGATTAGAGTTGATTGTATAAATTTTATTATATAACAAATAAAATAATTAATCTAATAAAACAGCCTTTATTTGATAAATATTTGATAAGGTATTAATAAATCAATTTACAAATCAGATGTTGATCAAATCTAACATTATATTCTATGAACTCAAACAATTATGTACAAATGAAAATCTATTATATTGATCGGAAAATGTCTTGTTTTCTGTCTATTCTAAATGTATTTAAATAATCTATGCTTTCATTATATTAATAGCCTTAACGAATCAGCTTTTGTTTAGTTTTTTAACCAATAGTTTACTACACAATAGGAAATATTACGAAAAGAGTCATATATTTTAAGAGAACTTTGAAAGAGAAATGATAGCTTTGTTTATATCAATAGTTTTTCTATAATGAATGGTTTGGTCTAAAGAATCGATGTCTCAAAAGATACTTATTATGTGAAGTAAAGACCAATTATATGAGTCAATAGTAAATTGCAATTTATATATAGAAAGAATTTATAACAAATAAATCCAAGCATTTTGTGTATACAAATAATAGCGAAAGTATGACTTCTATGTCAATAAATTCTTGAATTATATGTACTGGATATGTTATCTCGTTTATAAATGCTTTTGACTTCAAGTTTGACTTCATTTCACTTTACATTTGGGATCATTAAAAAATTGATTGACTTTTAATTAATGTTTGGCCAAAAGTGCATTCAATCTTACATCAAAGTTTAATTAACTTATAAACACTTGTTATACAAAATACCGTATGAGTCCCAACGCTAGCATTAAAATAATTATTTAAAATACTAAATAATTTTTATGCATTAAGAAAATGTGTATTTCATTTAGTAATGAGTTTACTTTTAATTATTTTAGTGAAAACCAATTATTTACGGATTTAGACAAATATACGAACATAAAAATTATTAAAATATTAACACCATTTTTAATTTGTGTTATAAAAAAAAGGTTGTAATTATATTATTATAAAACTAAAACTGTATGAAACATTAACAAATGTTAGCCAAATGTTTTATTATTATTAATATTTTGTTTTTTAATTCATATCACTTATTATTTTTTATTCAAACTGATGTCTGACTTTTGAAGTAATTTATAAAAAATATGAAATATCTTTAGACCTCGAGAGCAGATAAAAGTAAACAAAAATTAATGGAAAATTGTCTCAAATAAATAAAATCACAAATCATTCGCAAATATTATACTATATTTTGAGCAAAGTTTTGATTTTTGTATAAATAAATTGTGATTTATGTTTAAGACTATATTTTCTACACTTAAATCAAATGACTTAATAAATGTGTCGTTGTTTTAAACGTTCACATTTTGATGGTTTTGGTCGTCTCCCAAATTGTGTGCAAATTCTGAGCGCATATTCTTATCGACTGTTTTTTGAAAGAAAAGTTTGTCTGTTATATAAATACTCGACAGTTATCTGAAAGCAAATACAAGTGAAGACACCGTTTATTTGTATTTCTTTAGCCAATATATAAACAGACTTTAAGTCTCAAGTCGTCAGTAGTCGTCAACGAAAAATACTAAACACATTGAGTTTCACTCATTTCCAGAATATCTCATCAAATCATAAATCAAATGAATTTCATTCATCCCTTTCATGCGCTCATTTAAAAATACATTTCTCACTGAATATTTTAAAGTTAACTATTTTTTAATTAAACGCTTATGTGTTAAACATTTAATTCTTGCTTTTAATTACAGAATTTTCTAATTATGAATATTATAATTTATATGATTGAAAAGTTTTGCTAATTATGCACCCAAACAATTGGTACAATTACTTCATACATTTCATACTTTTAAGTTTATTATAATTTTAATTAAATAAACAAAAGGATTGTAAGGAATGTAAGGCATTAGAAGTGTTTTTGTGTTTTGAGTGAAGTTTATGTTATTTTAAATATAATTTGCATTTATTTTGCTAAGTATTTGGGAGAACAAGTTGTGTCTGTTTTATATCGATAACTGTGTTGTTGTGCGGTATTCCGGACTCGGATGGCAGTCACGGCCCATAAGGTTTGTGTTTCATATGATTTGTACGCTTTTGAACGGTTGGCCCAAAGCGTCCGTACCATCAGAAAGAGCTCTCATTCTTATAAACACTCCAAACAAGTGAATGGATGCGAGAGAGGGCTGTCTTTAATCTGAAAAATGTATGCAAAAGTGTAGTTCCGTTGCAAAAGATTTATTATAAACTCGCTTTTGCTCGACTACTCGCCTAATAATATTGTAGCGGCGGGAGAGGAGGGGGAGGGGAGGGGAGGGTAGCGTTGTATTTCATGTTCACCGACTTCTTCTTTTACCATTTCTCTGTGTATTTGTAGCCAAACCTCGATTACAGTCAGACATTGATTCTCTGGCCTCTCCTCTCTCCTCAAAACATACAAAAGTGGGATCTCTTGTGTCTCTCGTGTTCCCTAATGTTGGCCCCAATTCTGTGCTAAACATTGAGTGCCCAACCATTCTCTCACAGCTACTCAATCGGTGTTCACTTACATCAATGTTCAGCACTTGCTTTCAAATTATTATTATTATTATTATTATTATTATTATTATTATTATTGCCTTATTTTTAGGCAAACAGTCATTGCTTTCGACAACTAAACGAGAAAAAGGAGACAAAATTGGCGAAACATTTTTTGTTAGCGTTTGTGTAATGTTTGCTGTTATTAACACTTATTTGCGATAACTATTCAATCATTAGCTCACGTTTTAATACAATAAATAATAAATAAAATCATTGACTTTTGACATAAATTATAATAACATTTATTGCAATTCATTAGCCAAATAGTTTAGAAATTTCATAACCGAATCGCAATCGATAAAATGTGAATTAATTTATGAATTTATATAAAAATATTATATTTTTCCAATGAATTTGTAAATGAGTTTATATTTTGTTTTTGAGAATAAATAAATAAAAACTTTTGATCATATATTATATAGATTTATGACATGAATTAGATATGAAAGACTTGAATTGCATTTGTTTTTATTTTTCGAAAACTATTTTTGGATTATCTTTACTTAAACAGAGATTATTTGAATGGTTAATACCGTCGAGTTTTATAACAAAACTAATTTCCATTTTTTGTTTGTAATTGCTTTTCATTGAGTTTTACTGATAATAGCGTTATTAATCTGAAGCGATAAGAAGTGATGCCATGTATAGCATGTATGAGGGTATGGAAGTGCAAAAAACAAGTCCACTATTACTGCACATCACTGCCACCCCTGCCATCCCTACCATCCCTGCCATCTCTGCCATTACTGCTACTTAATTTTCATTACGATTATCTGACATATCAGTGAAAAAATTAATCTCTTCTTCACTATTGAATCCATGACAACAACAACACTATCTTTGCGTTCATGTCTTACAAACTTTTCTGCCGCAACTCAGAGGAGTTCCTCACCATTACATCACTAACACAAACGCATACAAACTAACCACCCCTTACACCAAACGGGCGGAGACTACCACCACTGCATCTGACAGACAAACATCAAAGTCACCACCACTTCCCACCATCACCTCTCTCTCTCTCTCTCTCTCTCTCTCTCTCTCTCTGCCGATTGTCTGGCATTGGGTTCACTATTATTATGAGTGAATTTTCAGTGCGTTTATTGCGTTCATTGCTTTCATTGCATGTTATCTCTATTCCGTTTTTAGTAACAGATTACAAAAAATCGCTAAGTAAGCAACAAAACACTCATCTTCACTTCACTTCTCATAAAACTCCGTTTTGATCTTTTCTTATCAATAAATCAACACAACACACTCTGTGTGTGGCATACAGTCAGTGCACAGTCTATGCCATAGTCTATGGTATCTATTGCTGGCAAACCATAGTCCAAAGCCAGTCGACGGCGCATAAGCCTCAGGCCATACAAGTGCTGACTGTTTGGCATAACTTTTTAGCAAATAAAAAGATTTTGCCTTCGCTTGTACTCCGTCTTCAGTTTGTTTCACATCAATGTTTTGGTGAACTTCGCCACACATTTCATATGGTCTTCAAAGGCGTGTCCGCATAACCGCATTCATCGCTCCCATCCCTACCATCCCTACCATCCCTTACGAGCTTTGCTGCCGTTTTTAACCTTAATCTCCGCCTTTACTAAACTTTTGGTCATTTGTTTTGCTTTACAACTAATTCAACGGCCAGTGTATGAGCCAAATGTGACACAACTCTCAGCCCTCAGTCCTTACAATTAGAGTCTCATTGCACTCAACACTCGTATAATATAGAGATAAGGCAAAAATCATTGTCTAATGTTTTTTAGCGATTCATTCGTTGTTTTGTGAGTAGAAGTGAAGTGAAGAGTATTTTGAGGCAAAACTAGAAAAGAATAGTTATTTAGTTGTGTTGTGTGTCTCTGTGTGTGGCATACAGTCAGTGCACAGTCTATGCCATAGTCTATGGTATCTATTGCTGGCAAACCGTAGTCCAAAGCCAGTCGACGGCGCATAAGCCTCAGGCCATACAAGTGCTGACTGTTTGGCATAACTTTTTAGCAAATAAAAAGATTTTGCCTTCGCTTGTACCCCGTCTTCAGTTTGTTTCACATCAATGTTTTGGTGAACTTCGCCACACATTTCATATGGTCTTCAAAGGCGTGTCCGCATAACCGCATTCATCGCTCCCATCCCTACCATCCCTTACGAGCTTTGCTGCCGTTTTTAACCTTAATCTCCGCCTCTACTAAACCCAATGCTAAACTTTTGGTCATTTGTTTTGCTTTACAACTAATTCAACGGCCAGTGTATGAGCCAAATGTGACACAACTCTCAGCCCTCAGTCCTTACAATTAGAGTCTCATTGCACTCAACACTCGTATAATATATACATTCATACCATTCATTCAAAACAACTTTCTATGAGTTCTTTGTTTCGTTACATTCAGTCAATTGTTTTCAACTCTTTTGAAGCAAATGTTTGAATGTTTTTGTGAATTAAGAAAATTATAATTTTCATAATAAGTGAATAAAATATGTAATTATATGGAAAAATCTTTATGAATTGAATTAATTAAGCAAAAAAAGTGAACGCAAAGCTATTATTAAACATAATTCAAAAGTTGTTAATATATTAGCGCTGAAGACAAGACTGAGCGCCAGAACCGGAAACAGTGTTTAAGTGAAAACTCAATCTCTAATAAATGTGTGTAAAGAAAGCGAAAGAAAATTAAAATTGCATTCAAAGAGAGAGTCATTTGTCTAAATGTGTTCCTGTATTGAAGTGATGTGAATGACTGATGCAATTGAAACCAAAAACAATCGACTCTTTTCACTAATAAACTAAAAGTATGTGAAGTCTGAGCGAGACATCAGTTTGTAAGTGAAGTGAAGTACAGTTTATGCGGTGTATTGCGCACAGAGAGCACAGGGAGCACAGGGAGCACAGGGAGAGAGACAGAGTAGAGTGGAGTAGAGTTGTTGTGTTTGTGAGTTAGACTTAGTGAGCGTTTTTTGTATACGTTTTGTGACATATTATCGATCGGCCAGAGAGTGAGACAGAGAGCACATCCCTGTCTAGTGTTGGCCACCATTCACTACCATTGAATACCATTGAACAGCACATCTCCTCCACATCTGTTACTCGCTTTCACTCGCTTTTTATGGACTAAACTGTGATTGTGATGAGAGAGACCATCTCTTTCTTGTAATCATCTCAAAGTGTGTTGTTTTTGTCAATTGTCCGCAATATTCATGATATTTATTTCAATACAAGCGCTATATTTGCATCAAACAAATCGCAAACAAAACTAGAAAATTGTAGAAATCATGTATAACTCACGACATCCGGTATGAGACATGTTTTGCTTATATTATATTATTTATTAATATTATTAACTAATTCTTATGAGATATCTAGAGATGTACTTTCAATAGTTTAAACAATTTATGATTTATTTATCTTAAGTTTTTTATCGCATTTGGTTGTCAGACAACGCTTTGTAAAGAGAAGTGAAATACAAATATTTGTTGAATTATTTTTTATTGTTATAACCTTCAGCTTAGATTGTCGTTAATTTGTTAGATTCATAAACATTACCAAAGCTTTTATGGGTTATATATCAATAATTTGAGCCCAACTTAATTGAGCTCTCGTTTCACAATTTGAGCATCAGTTTGTGTTTAACTATATATCAAAATATCTGTAAAACCAATTCAAAACTTTTATTGAACAGTCATTACTTTATTTGTTTTGCCTGAAAATGTTATGGAAACATTTTCTCGTCTTATATTTCTTATTTTATTCAATCATTTCAATCTAAACCAAATTAAACAAAATTCTCAGGATTACAAAATCAATGAAAATTATTCTTAAGGCACTTTTATTAAGAGTTCAATTAATACTGAGAATTATTGAATAATAGTTAAGTGAGAATTTATTATACGGAATATAATAATAGTTTTCACAGTTTGAGTGTTTGTTTGAGAAGTAATTGATTTTGTTTTTTATTCAAAACTATCAAACATTTGAGTGTTTGTGTTGTTTAATAGGAATTAAGAGTCGATATTAGGATTAGATTTGAGTCAATCATTACTTTGAAAAGTATATCATTAAAGGCAATGAATTGTGAACTCATTTGAGATATTTTCATACATTTTATCACAAATAATGGAAATGAGATTAAATGCAGTGTTTGTACGGATTAGAGATAATATGAGACAATATCTTATGAATAATCGGTAGACAAGAGAATAATGATATGAAACCCACGATAGGGTCCCCCACAGGCCGGACAGCCATTCAAATTCACGGTAACGGAAACGTGTGAACGAATCAAAGAGGAGTTCAACTTTCTTCAGGCCCAGTATCACAGGTAACCCACCTTTCAGTCCATCCATTTATTACCCGATATATGTATTATGTATTTATTATCATTTAAATATTTATGATATCGTACTCTATATTAAGATAATATACTGTATGCGATCAATAGATTAAATATACATTTTATAAGCATTTATATTGAGTGCTATATTAATACAAAGTGATTTCAAAGTTCATTTAAATAGTTATGGAAATAGATATTAATTAATTTGATGGCAAAATATATTACAAAACTAATGGAAATGTTTGATTGAATGACAGTTTGAAACTAGAATTGGAAAAACTCGCGACAGAGAAGACAGAAATGCAAAGACATTACGTTATGGTTAGTCACAGATCTGTTGATTATTATAATCATAATCTAATGAGAAGTTTATCATTACTAATGACACAAATCCATGTTTTTTATCTCTTATTACAAACAGTATTATGAAATGTCTTACGGATTGAATGTCGAAATGCATAAACAGGTAAGAAATGAATTGTTCATATCTTTTATATAAATAAATAATAATGACACAAATCCATGTTTTTTATCTCTTATTACAAGCAGTATTATGAAATGTCTTACGGATTGAATGTCGAAATGCATAAACAGGTAAGAAATGAATTGTTCATATCTTTTATATAAATAAATACCTTCTTTTACTCAAGTCTTAAATTTCAAATCTTCTCACGATTTCAATAATACTGTCGTCACATCCTATCAAATGATTTGCTATTGCTTTATAATAAATGAACAAATTTTCTATTTAATATAACTCTGTTTTCATTGCATTTAATGCGAAATTAATTTATTGAATGCCATTCCCCTGTTGTAAGTTGAGTGAAGTTTTTTGAGTATTTTCTTCGCAACAAATATTTCAATCGAGACTTATATCACGATTTATATAAATAATAATCAAAAGCTATGATTGTCTGCAAATCGATGTACTCTTCACTAATGATAGGGTTCTAAGTTAGGAGTCCTAACACTACTACTTAAAAGTTATCATTATTTGTGTATTTCAACCACAATTACTCTGAATTATAATTCTTTAATTTGTTACCAAAACTAATGAATACATTCTTTCCATCAATTACTTCATGAATACAGTATTACACTATTATATCCTTTTGCTTCAAATCTATTCAATCATTCAGAAGAATATTATTTCAAAAGCGAACCAAATCTCAAATCATGTTTTTATGCATTTTTAATTATTTTCAAAACTCGTATTAATTACTATAATGTTATAGCATTTATTATTATTATTATTTAATTCACACACTCTTTTATATCTCATACATATAAAGAGTAATTTTTATTTGCAATTCAGCTGTTTGTGTGAGTGAGTGAGTGCGAGAGAGAGAGAGAGAGAGAGAGAGAGAGAGAGAGAGAGAGAGGTGAGTGTAGTAGTGGTTGCATATAATTATGTATTGTTGAAGAGCTTCTGGCAATTCTGGCAAAACAGCATTAATTTAGACTTTATTAATGCAAGACTTATCAAACAATACATTATAAATACACTAATTTTGATAGTCTTTACAATTATATTCTGGTGTAAAGCCTGAGAACAAAACTGAATAAGAGATTGAATGGGTTTTGATGGATGAGCTCTTTTCAACTGTACTTCTAAATTAATTCTACATTTCAATGCATTCATAATAGTAATTAAATTAGAAATTCTTATAATTCTTGTTTTACTATTTAATTTTCATTCATTTACTCCATTTAAACAATATATGTATATATTTATGAATTTAATCGATTATTAGCGTTAAAATAAACACATAGTTTTGTGAGCTTTTAATTTGATTAAATAATTCAAATAAATAAATAGCCCAGAGTCATAAATTGTTTGTTTCGACATTTGATTGTCATTTCTAATCAAAATAATATCTAAACTACTTCTCGATGTATTGCTTCAGTTCATCGGACTATCCATTAGCCATATTATAGCATAAAAGCCATGACTCCGGCGTAGGGCTCAGGGATCGCGATATTTCTCATAATTGGTATTAATGTTGCAAATGTTGTAAATTACATCATTTGAGTGAATGTTGTGTTCAAATTATTAAGCGCACCGATAATCGACTACTCCATGCTATCACACACTCCCCGTGCAGTTACTGCCGGTGCTGAGAGAGAGAGAGAGAGAGAGCGAGAGAGAGAGAGAGAGAGATGAGTGTAAGCGTTAAGTTATTGAATGTCGGGCCAGTTGTCTGCTAATGACTAGTAATACAGTATTGGCTTCTATGGGAAGAATCGATGCGTAACTGACTCGACAATCACGTCTTGCAAACCGTCTCATGCATGACAAGCAATGTATGCAAAAAAGTATAACTTTTCCTATTCTTTCGCTATTATATGCACTCAAAGCCACGCATTGTTTTCTTCTTTCTCTCTCTCATATTGTTATTTCTCTTTGGGTTTGAATGAAAGCCATTCGTAAGCATTGCAGACATTTGTAGAGATAGTAGGCTTTGGAGGCATCGGTCGCTCATTCCGATGAACACACATAAGAGTGGAAGCGATGCAAACAAAAAGCCAATACTTTTCGTACAGAATCTGTACTACAGATTGCTATTTAGGGCTGAATTACTGGTTGAGGCGATGGTTGAAGTATTGACTAAAAAGCCGTACACTGAATGTGAGATCAGTTTTAATTATCTGTCGTACGCTTTACTCTCCCTTTCCTCTGCTCTTCAACTAATATATGACTATTTCTGCCAAAAAACAGCTAAAACTCCTAAACTGGTGACAGACTAAGCAAATCACCTTTTATTACATGCTCTCCACTCATACGAGCAGTTAATATGTGTTTTTGAGTGGAAATAAGCTCTACTGAAGCCGGCATTACATTCACTAAATATATACATAATGTCTGAAAAGAAGCAAAAGAAGTGAATCAATAATTTGGTCTTTATATCCATTAGATGTGTTGTGTCACAGACACAGACACCAGAGAGACTCCATATGTCATACGCTAAGCATATCAGTGTTGGCTTGCGATGTGTCGGCGCACAACACACTCAACACACTCGCGATTATTGTATTTAATCATTACATGATTACAACTATTTTGTTGCCGATATGTCTCACTATTCATTCATTTCATTTGCTATCTGAAGCTCATTCATACGCTTTTCAATCAGTCCTTAAGATTTTTCAATAATTAGTTTTTCAATGTATTGTCGTTTATTATTCATTGCATAGTTAATTGCAAACAATTAATGTTTAAGCAATTCGTTACACATTTTTCTTTTCACTAATTTCAATGTCAAAACTAACAAAAAACTAATTAATCAATACTCCGGTTCATTGCACTCATTAATGACATTTACTTTTTGACAAAATATATTTAGTTTTATTAATATTATTTAATTAAGAGTATAGTCGACAACACAATTCGTGTTTTCGATCTTTTTTTTTATTTATATAATAAATTAATTTAATTTATTTGAATGTATAATATAATGAGTTTTCAATTTGACGATCTTGTTTAGCAAATAATGGTTTTCAAACCATTTATTTTAATTTCTTTTCATTTTTATTTCATTTGAAATGATTTATATATAAGATGTTATTTCACATTTTAATAGTAATTGAATTAAAAATTGTGCTAAAAATCAGAAACAATTTCTTTGAAGAGAAGTGTTTATAATGTGTATAAAAGTCGTCGCAATTTCTCAATAGTTGTTGTGAATGTTGCGATAAGAAATCAAAACCATCTCTGGTTTTGGGATAAACTTTCAATATATCAACGAATGTGTGCTCACAAAAGAAAGATTACGATTTGAGAGTTTGTTTGAAATATAGTCTAGTATTGGATTTTGAAGTCGAGAATTGATGCCCTCTTTCTGAGTCAGTTGTTGTGCTTTTCACATAAGAGCACAGCATTTGAAGCCATATAAGCTTTTTTGAGCACATCATTCAAACGTTGCATTCTTTGCCTCTTTCTCTCTATTCTTTACGTTCACTCACTTTCTTATGCGTTAAACAGCAAAACACAACACAATCTATTCGTTATTCAATTTTTTCTCCTCTCTTTACACACTATACTTGTGAACCAAATTGTATGGATGTGTATATCGTATGTACAGTAAGTGAGAGCACACCATAAAAAATCGATTCCACTTCCAACAGATTATTCCTACTCTTCGTATATCTATTTATCAATGATAGGCAGGGAGGAGGCCCTGGAGTCGGCCAAGCCATCACACTTTCCCTTATATTCAATTCAACGCATATCTCAATCATATTACGAGTAATGAATCTCTCATTTTTGTTCAATATATCTTTAAACATACCTCTCGTTCACATTTAAATGGACACATTTGCCAGTAAACACACACATCAGCCATAATTTGCACAATTTTGTCAAATCAGTGAAATAGGTTCCCCTAATAACCCCTTGCGATAACCCCTTTCATTATGCGATAGAGAGTGTGCATATGTCTGGCATATCTCTGTATTGTATGAAAAAGAGATATTGCATTTGAGATGTGATGCATGCCATTGAATGCCAAATGTTTTCGTAAATTTTCAGACCATCAATTTGAATGATAACATCCATTGATGTTTGCAGTTATGCGACATTTATGTCAGTCTATCATCCCTTTTCCAATTTATAATATAAGTATTTTTTCATTAATGATTGACTCTCTTTTCAAATAAACTTTTTTTTATCCCATTTGACAACAACTCTGCAAATGTTTACAGAATCGACTGAATTTACATTACATTACAATCATTATTTTCTAACAATTTTTTTCTCTAGTCATTCGCTTGAAAACGATCACAAAAATCAATTAAAGTGAAGCTTAAAAACTAAAACAATAGCTCTGAAAATTCAAAATTACTTTTTTCAACCCGTTTTTGTTTCATTTGAATTTATAGCTCAATAGAATTTTATTACAAAAACTTACATTGAAAATACAGTGTGTATTGATATTAATATAATTTACACATTATTTTGGGATCAATTTGTTTGCCTCATATGGAGAGATTTTATTGCTCTCAAATACTTAGGGAAAATATTTAGCCATTAGTGATATTATTTAGGATTATATTATGTATTACGATGAACATTGGCTCAACATTGAATAACTTGATTATCCGCTACCAAACGGTGATTATTATTTATAATCACTTCTGTGTTGATTTTATATCAAAATTATCAGTAAATTTCTTTTTAAACATTTTTGTTATAGATGTTTATGAACATTAATTTACAGATATTTTATAGACAATTAATAATCACTTTCTTATTGTTTGCTTAAAGAATAATAAAATAAATCTAATGTTAGAATAACTGTTAATTTAATCTTATTAATTTATCGTTTCTTATCTTAAACAAATATTTTAAAACTAGATAAATAAAATACATAAAGTAATATTTATTAGATTACCCCATATTAAAGCTCAAAATATTAAAATTTTTGTGTGAGAGAGAGAGAGAGAGAGAGAGAGAGAGAGATTATGAATGAAAACTTATTGATTGATTTGTCTTATTTTGACTGTGGGTTTGTCATTGGATTTCTGGTTCGGATATAGAAATTAATTTAATTTTATTTCGTTTCTATTGTGGCGTTTAAGTCGATGGAAAGGGAGGTAAAGTGAATGGCAGTTATGTTGTGACCATTTCTTTATTTGATTTCCCGTTTGGACACAAAATAAACTTTTATTAGTGTTTAGACACATAAGTAAATAATAGATAATAAATGCATTGAAAGAAGCAATTGTGAGACAATATTGCAGTGTTTTGTTTGTGACTTTGATTTGATAATTTCATAACTATATGATTGAGTGGTGGTTGTATTGCATAACTTGAAACCTAATCTATACTGTAGTGTCATTTGACGGGGGCTGGTATGCGAGCGTCGGACTCAGTGTCCGTTCAATATGTAGAGAACAGGCAGTCTGTATGCTCTCAATAAACATGAAATGATGAAAAAATGAAATGAAAGCAAAGTCTTTAAACATTTTGATGGCAATGAAATGATGAAAATGTAAACACCAGTGGATTAGGTCGTGATAAGAGAATATAACAAATCCTTTTCTGGACAGTCATATAATGTTTGCTTAAGTGAAGTAAAGCCACCAAAAATCATAGTTTGTATTACAGTGACTAACAGTGGTATACAATCTTTGCCTTTTGGTGGACAGTAGTGTTGATTAAAGAGCTTTTGCGCAAATGTTTGTCTAACTCTAATACAATACCTCCTAATGTTTTGAATCAACGCTCGCTGAAAATATATCTTCACTCAACACTTAACCCTTGTTTTAGTGTTAATACAATACAAGAAAAGTTTGTGTGTTTTGGCACTAATTCAGCAAAATATGGATAAAAATATGAACTCATAATAAGTGATGAGAGGGAGACGGGAGGGAAGAGGGAGAGGAGTAGAGATGATAGGGACTAACTATAGCATCAAATTGTATGTTTGATTTATAGCTATAGTACTGTATATACAGAATACAGAATACACTACAGAATAATAGTCTTTCATTTATGCGCCAAATAATTGAATCGATGAACAGTTCCCTGTATTCCCTGTATATACAGTACATTATGTTATGCTGGTGTCTGTCCTACTCCCTGGCCGACTGTCTCTGTCTGCACTTAAATAGAGTATGAATTGTTAGGATGTTGTGAGCGCTGGTATGACTTAATGAGTGTGGATGTGGTGGTAGGAGTGGGCCGTCATCTGAATGCGTTAATGGCATCGTCTCACGCTTTGTGCCACTTTTGGGCGTACAGTACAATACATCCAATATATGAATGTATATCACAATATCATAATGTTTTCTGAGCTTTTAGTAATACTCCAATTCATGAGTTTTTATGTTATAAATAGCAGACATGCGAGTGATGTATACCATGTATTTTGTTTAATACTCTATTGTATTGTTGGCTGCAATCCATTCAATACCATATAATAGTGTTTTCAGTCTTTGAGTTGAACTCAATTAAGAGTATAGAGTATTAGAGAAAAGCACGCAATCAAACACATCAAACATGTAAATACTAATGAATATTATTCTCTATTTATTTTACTTCACTGCCAGACAAGTGAAAAGAAAAGTCATAATTATTGGAGATTTGCAAACAAACACTTCACTTGATATTCAATTCATCGCAAACATCTGTACATTTAATTCGCAATTCTGTTAAAAACACTATTTTTGCAAACCTTTCAAATTATGCTCTGTTTATTAACTCAAGAGTTTATTACCACTTGAGTTATTAATGTCATTCAAATCACTCTCAATCTAATACTACTCTATAAAACATTCATCAATTTTCACTAACGAGTAAAAGTCCGGGGTTTAGCTTTAGATTTAGCTTTAGTTTTATATTTTCTTTTGAAGAATATCATGTATTAAATTTTATAACTAATGATACTTATTTTGACTGACAATATTAGTTTACCAATTTGTTTACATTTATATACAAAATGAAAATATTCTGGTGAATTTTAAATCATATAAAAACTTGTATTCTGGAAAATTCTGTGAAATGTTGATAAATGTTGTGAATGCAGAGTATTGAAGACAGGTGTCCACCTTAGATACCGATTCTTAATGTACAGAATCTGTGTTTGTCGTCTCATATAATGAGAGGCTCTTGTGTTAAATTAGTCTCTTTTTTATGAGACACGAGAATATAAATGAGATTAGAATTAGAACTAAGGTTTAGATGTAGTAATACTGGCGGTGCCGCTAATCTCATGCCATCTCAACGCATGTATTGTCTTGCGTTGAATTGTCTTCAATCCGACTCTAAATGCAGCTCTTCTTCCAACACATTATTAACCAATTCTTTGTTAGTTTTCTTTTATCTCATTTTCTGTCAAATGTATTATTAAAGACTTGCATTCATTGAGAATTATTTAACCAAAAAGAAAACATCACAGAATTGAGATCTCTTTCTATGATCTCTAAGTTATTGTTCAATACTTTTTTATTATCTCTGAAAGCTTTTGTGTATAAATTTAGAAATCGATGATTTTGTAAGAATCGGAATAATAAATATAAATATTTACAAATATTATACTTAAATATATATATTAAGAATATATATTCATTGTTGATTATGTAATGGTTTGTATATTGATCTACTGTATTGATTAGAATATAAATTTTTAAACATTATTAATAAATAGGAAATATGAATTTGTTGTCAATAATTGGTTGTCAGCACTCACTCGCTATATCAGTATTGAGTTCATATGAGAGGCGATTATAATTCATTTCATTTAATTCTGCGATCACTTCCACGCAAACCATCATTTGATGGTTTAGTCACGCTTTCAGACTATAAAAAATGCACAAAATTAAGAAAATTCGTTCTCTTTTATAGTTTAATAGGTTTTCAATGAAATAATGCTTTCATACTTTTTCTCAGCAATAATTGCCTTTTCATTAAACTTTTATAAGACTTGAAATTGTTTTGAATTTGAAATTTTCGACTGAAATCTTATAAATTTGATAATTTTATTCGTGAATAGAATTTTTTATGACTTTATCTATTAAAATTTTATAATAATTTTTTGTAGACCGAGATTGCCAAACGTTTGAATGCAATCATTGCACAAATTTTGCCGTTTTTGTCACAAGAGGTAAGTGTAAGTGTAATCGGAATTGATGTTTGATTACAGTATATGACAAACAAATTTAGTTTATGTTTTTATTTTTTATTACGAACCTTTATGTAACTTAATTACTTTCAATATTTGCTTATTAGTAATTCATAAAATTCTTAAGTTCTGTCATAATATTATTATTATTCTTGTATTTTATTACTTCTTTATATAGAAGGCATATTAGCTGTAAAAATCTTTATCTTATATAATATAACATAATATCTAATATTTAGTTGTCTTTGTTTCTAAAATCATTATTACAAACACTTTATTGATTACTTATCAAATGTTGTTCATTATTATTATTACATGAAATATTAGCTTATTTATTTATTAATTAATTTCTAGACAAATATTCTTTTGATTTTAATATATTAACAATTTTATTACTGTGTAATTACTAATTAAATACAATTTTGATTTTAATTTTTAAGCTATAAGTTTGAAGTTATAAAAAATTTAAAATATTTTATTAGATATTTATAATAATTATACTGAAATTGTTTTTAATCAAAATTGTACATTAATATTGTAAGAATGATTGAACAAAATGTAATAATAAGATATAAATGGTAACACGAATTGAAAATGTAATAATTGAATTTATATATAATTGTATTTCGTTTAAAGAATATTTCGTAAGAATTATATGAATTTGTATAATAAGTTAAAGAGGAAAAGAAGACTTAACTATAGATTATTGAATAAAAAGCGAGTTATGCTTAGAGCAGATACTATGGATGCCTACCCCCTGATCCAAGTCCCCCATTAGATGTTGTTCGAGTTGCCTCGAGGGACTCTAAATATACAAAGAGCTCAAACCAAACATTTACGGCAGCTTTACTTTGCTCAGTCAATATTGATGCCCGAATCTGGTCTGTTTGCTGTGCCTTTGCTGTCTGTTTGGCGGATTGTGTGCTCAACTTCACTACAGCTAACATGCCTTCACTACACCATTCAATTCAATATGCCTTTGCTTTGCTTTTCTTACACTAAACCCAATATTGAGCGATCGATTCCACAATGAAAGCAATGAAAGTAACTTAAATGTAGAATATTTGCCAACACAGCCAACAATAATATAAACTCACTCTATGTATACATTTACTCAAACATATATTCAATATATTCTGGCAAACAAACAATGCTTTCAGATATTCTACACATATTTACCATTCAATTCACATTACATTGAATCCCTTCTAATTATAGAACTTATTAGAAATTACAATTAAAAATCAATGCAATTAAGTGCCAAATAATCACTGATTATGTTGTGTCCGACAGCACCAGCAACAGGTCGCGTCGGCCGTCGAGAGGGCCAAACAGGTGACTATGACTGAGCTGAACGCCATCATCGGTGTAAGTGATCCCTCATTGAGATTCATATCTCTATTAATGCTTATTCTCAGCTCTCATTGAAACAAACATTTGTTTCCACTTGATTCCTACAATTATTCTTTGAGTGGATATTTGTTTTGCTTTCTGTGCTCTTATTTATTTACATTTCGTTTACCAATTCAAATAAGATTGAGTTTTGAAAACTTTATTTGAGTTTATTTTAACGAATTGTATTCAAATAGTTATAATTGGTTTATATTTGGAGTGACATTAGAGCGGAATATAATCTAAACTATAAGAGCATAGAGTGATGTGTTTTGTTGTGTGACAGCAATTGTTTGTTAATATGAGGCGAATGAGTCATTATTGTTATAATAATATTAATACTAGACTTATATTGTATTTGCATCTCAATTGTGTTACAGCAACAGCATTCAGGAATCGCTCATTTGATGGTAAGTCAAGTCAATTATGTAGCGCTAAGTCTGCCGGTGCTGTGCCTGTGCTCAGCGGTGAGTGGAGTGTCGGTGGAAGTGATTCAACGCTTTGCTGGCATTCCTTTAAAATAATTCTGTTTTAGAGATGCCGTGAACTCAGAGAATGAGAAAGTTTTGAGACTTTGATGGTTAGGCTATAGTTAGTGTTGTAGTTAATGCTATAGTTATTCGTATAGTTATTCGTAGAGTTAGTGTTTCTCTGAGTCCATCTGAGCGTAAAACCCCAAAAGACGCCGTACTCGACACACAATCGTTGAGTACAACCATTATTTTCACGCATTTATGTTTCACAGCACTCGCTGTAACTGTTATTATGAGAAGCAGACAGTATGTGATGTGATGTGCTCTGATGTGATGCCTGTGCTCTGATGTGATGCCTGTGCTCTACTCGCACACCATGACGGGGGTGATGGGGATCAGGGCTCACACAAGTACTGCACCAGATTATAGCCCCTCCATTCAATGCAATTTCTTTGTGGCCCTCAATCTCTCCTTATGTAAGACCAGTGAAGCGAAAAACAGTGTTTGCGTTCATATAATACCTCTCGACTGGAATTAGAGTAGAATTACTCGCTTTCGTTGCCATTAATTTCACTTGAAATACATTTTCTATTCATTTATTACAATATATACCAAATTATGTATACTTTTATCCCAATCTCAAGCAACAAATCCATGCCCAGCAGTTGCCATCTGCACATTCTCACGGCCCTCCCCTCCCGATGATGCCTCACCCGGCACTGGCCGGTCTCCAGCCTCCCTCGGCTGCCACGGCCGCAGCCCTCACCGCAGGAATGCCTCCCTCGAGTTCAGCCGCCGCCGGACTGCTGGCCCTATCGGCTGCCGGATCACTGGCCGGCGCCTCATCGGTGGCCACCAATAACAACAACTCCAGTCATTTGTCGGCAATTCCTTCAACCCTTTCGAAGGAGTCCTCCCATCGGGAAAACAATGAGAAGCGCTTACTTAATGGTCAGTTCAGTCCACTCCATATCAATCATATGTCAAATAAATATGTTTTCAATGAATTTTATTTTTCGGTTCTTTTCATGTCTTTTCTGCGGACACAACAGACGACAGAAGAGAGGTATGAGTTTCACGACTAATAGATATGTATTTCCTCAGCAATAAAAACTGAATTCAATTTTCAATATGAATTTCAAATATCTATACAAAAGAGTCTTTTCTCGATTGCCAAAGAAATACAAGTTTTATATACAAAAAAAAATTGAATAAACACACAATTCAAACGTTTGGAAATTTCAATTTATTTTAAGCTTATTCTCTAAAAAATACTATAGTTTTCACTTTTTGTGCCCAAAAGTTATATAAAAGAGCTGTAAGTTATATATATGTTGTCGAATATCTCATATCTATCGACACTTTATAAAAGAGACGTTTTCTCGCGGGAAAGGAAGGGAAGGGAAGAAACCGATTCGCACTTCACTTCAATCTCCTTATCGATTATTTTCCTTCTTTTCATCCCTCTCTCCATCTCTCCATCTCTTCATCTCTTCATTCTTTATATATATTTATTCTTTTCTGTCTCTTTCTGTTTGAGCTCTTTTTCACTCTATTTTTCCAAACCATAGATTCATTTGTTTGGATGAGTTGTGAACTTAAATCTCTAGATATATGTTCTTTAAATCTAATATTCAAATGAGATATCTTTTGTGGGCTGACAATAATGCCGACAATAGTCTTAAAATGACCCACATACAAAGACTTACAAAATAGCTATTGTTGTAAAGCCATGAAAATAAAAAATATAATAACATATTATCTTTTTACTATCGAAAACTAATACCAAGTAAAGTGTTAGGCAATTATTAGATAATATCTAAGTTTTCAGATTTTTTGTTCAGTTATTGGATGAGACACTTTAATTCAAATATAAGTGAATTACTGAAACAAATCTCCAATGAATGACTGATTTAGAGTGCGGACAGTTGTGTATATTTAGTGCAAAAGTCCGTTAAAAATATTGATGAATGAACTCATTGTGTGAGATCATCAATGGATATATAGAGGATAAAAGAAGGGAAAACGCAGGGAATGGATGTGTTGGCAGAGATAAAGTAGACATTAGGCTGTCTGTCGAGGGTTTTGAGCCCACTTTTTGTGGACTTATGACTACATATAAGCATTTAATCCTCGTTGTGACCGATGGGATATTTTAGTCGCTAATAATAATTGTCATTTCGTTTTCTCGCTATTCAATAGAGGAACTCATTTTCGCCACACTCTGAACGCACACGACATCGGAGTCGTACTCCAGAAGCAGAAACTAAATCAAAAAGAAGATCCAGAGATACGGAGAAAAACGATCACAACGTGAGTGATATTCTAATGCTTTGATCCATAGTTTTACTCAATATTTCGATTCTCTGTTTGTTTGTATACTTTAGGGCAGTGAGGATGAGAAGAGCGATCAGGATTTGGTGGTAGACGTGGCTAACGAGGTATGGACTCAAACTTATTGATCCCTTTGATTATGTGCTAATAGACGCAGAAATTCATTACAATTCCTGTAAAGACTTTGCGTTTTTGTTTGCATAAGTTTAGTGTAATAGTTAATTGATTGAGCATTTGGTTTGACACAACAATTATAGCGATTCTTGCATATCGTATACTGGTTTGCAATTTGCAATAACTCTTAGAACATGCATTTAAACACTAACTGTTCCCTCGCATACTACTCATGCAAATCGCAAAGTTTTGTCTACAAATTTGTTTCACTAATTCTAGAGTGGTTTACATTTGACAATTGAAAACAGTCTGAATGGCATTATTTAGATTGTGTGACAACATAAATGCATTGTTATAGTGTTATATTGTTTAGTTGTTTAGTGGAGTATTGTATGATCTGTTGTCTCTACCCTCCAGGAGCCCATATCTCCGCATAACGGGGACGCCTCTCCCCGTGAGAACGGTTCAGATGCGAGGATTAAACGCGAGAGAGAGCGGCCGCCCTCCAGGTCGGGCTCCTCTTCCAACAGTAGTACTCCTCTGTCAACAAAACCAAAGGAGCATTCGGTATGTCTTTCCCAATGTGTTATTAGAGACCAAATTTGCTGATATTATATCTCTCTATACAATGAAAGCATTATTTATTTTTATGACTTCAATAAACTTTTGTTCAAACAAACCGTTTTAAATCCCCAACTAATTGTTTTGCCATTAATTATCATATGATGTGTGTGTCTGGTGTACAGAGTGACAAACCACCCACACCTGTGTCTAAGCCAATAACGCCGACCAGTTCTGGATCGACAACTCCGAGCTCCAGCGCCAATAAAACACCAAAACCCACCACTTCTATCGGTATATACAGCTATTTATACATTAATATCAGTCATTATTGCCATCGCTTTCAAGTTTCAACTATAACTTATGTCAATAACTATCTATGCATCCAGGTCCCCCCTACCCCTATTTGCACGGCACACCATCTGCTCACCCGTCACTACCCGCTGATCTGAGTGTGGCCGCAGCCGCCTATTCGCAGGGGCTCTTACACAACAACATCAACCCCGCCCTCAACTCCTATCCCCGCGGATTAGTATGAATTCAAAATCATTTCCCAATAAAATATTTATTTAATTTAATTTACTTTCTTATCAAAGGTTCCCGGATATGACGCCCACCCCTCTCTACGCACACCTGGTTTTATCCCAGGAGGCAAACCGGCCTATTCTTTCCATGTGAACGCTGAGGGTCAGGTACAGCCCGTACCCTTTCCTCCCGATGCCCTAATTGGGTCAGGGATTCCTCGTCATGCGAGACAAATAAATACTCTAAATCACGGGGAAGTCGTTTGTGCCGTTACTATCAGTAATCCCACGAAATATGTGTACACCGGGGGAAAGGGTTGTGTCAAAGTGTGGGATATAAGCCAACCCGGGAGTAAAAGCCCAGTTTCTCAATTGGATTGTTTGGTATGAAATGAATTAAATATTCAGTAATTTTTTTTGAATAAAACTAAATTTTTCTAATCATATGAATAGCAAAAAGACAATTACATCCGTTCGTGTAAACTCTTACCCGACGGTCGGACTCTCATCGTTGGGGGCGAAGCGAGTACTATATGTAT